ATTGTTTCTTATTGAAAATACTATAGATGCTCTAATTTAAAAGAAATTTTATGAATATAGCCTACTCGTGCAGAATATATATACAGAATTTGATGAAAAGGTGAAAAGATAAGGGAAAGAAATTAAGTGTGTATTATTAGAAGTCCATAAGTAATTAGTTCACTTGGAAATATTTAGAATTTTCCTTTGCTTGTCCTTCTTTATTATTCTACAGTAATCTGCAATTAATTTGGAATCACTGTTTTTGCCTGTTTAGCAAGCGCTATAGAATTACAATTGAATGTTTGTCACAGCTTCTACTATGACATTGAAAATTTTATAATCTTGCTTACAGTTTGGATTCGTAGTAGCTTTGATACTTATATGTTTGCAATGTCTTTCACGTCAATTCTTAAATTGTTAAAAAAACTTGTTTTCGTTAATGACTTGTAGCACTTGTAGTATGATGTTCTAGTTAAGACAAAAACTTCTTTGCAGGTCTGGGAAGAGATTAAGAATGTATGATGACCACTCTCACAATGATATGCAAGGACAGATACAGCTGAGAGATTTTGATTTCATTAATAAGGGACCTGGACAAAGACGAAGACCGTTTCATGACCATCAGACTCAGGATGATTTAAGAACACCAATGCAGATGAGAAATTGGGACTACAGTAGGGGACCAGGACAGAGGCGAAGACCCTTTCCTGATCACCAGTTTTATGATGATTATCAAGAAGACATGCAGCTGAAGGACCTAGACTTCAGTAACAAGGGACCTGGACAAAGGTTGAGACCTTTTCACGGACACCAATTTCATGACGATTTACAGGCAGAGAGACCATCGAGGGACATTGAATTTAACAGAGGCCGTGGACAAAGGCAGAGATCTTTTCCTGACCATACATCTCATAATGACTTGCAGGAAGATAGGCAGCCAAAGGATTTTGAGTTTGGTAGCAGGGACCGTGGCCAGAGACGAAGACCCTTCCATGACCCCCAATCTCATGATGAATTTCAGACTCAGATGCAGTTAAAAGAGTTAGATTGTGTCAGCAAAGGTCCTGGCCAGAGACTAAGATCTTTCCATGGCTATCAGTCTCATGATGACTTAGAGTCACAGATGCAATCGGGAGATTTTGAGTTTGTTAGTAGGGGTCGTGGGCAGAGGTTGAGACCTTTCAACAATCACCAGCCTCGCAATGACTTACAAACAGAGGTGCAACTAAAAGATTATGATAATAAAGGTCCTGGGCAAAGGCACAGACCTTTTCATGACCATCAGCCTTATGATGACTTACAGGAAGAGACTCAGTTAAAGGATTTTGATTACATTAATAAAGGGCGTGGACAAAGGCCAAGACCTTTTCATGATCATCCAGGTCATGATGACTTACCACGTGAATGGTGTTCAGACAGGTAAAGCATCCTTGAGCTGTAAGACCAGAATTAGAGAATAAAAGTGTAAACCTCAGCACTCTTAAATTAACTGGCAAATTAATTATTTTTATGAATTAAATTAATTTGAAATCAATCATCCTTTTAAAATCATATATAAATGATCAGTTAATTGGGGGTTGACTTAAGGAAGGGTTTGATGTAAGCTGGAGTGCTGCAGCTTTGAAACCCAATGTTTCCTAAATTAGAAGGTTATGCTTCTTTAAAGCTTACGTATTTCCTTTACCTTTTTAGAGTCAGCTTGAAAGAAAACTCTTTGTCCCACTTTGTTTTGTATAGAAACTTACATTTAAAAAGCAATTCTCAAGACAGAAATGGGTATGAAATTTTATTTATGCCCTCAGCCAAACAGAGATAAACAGTAACACTACAAGGAAGTTTGACTTGCATTTGTTTATTCCATGAGTTAATAATTTATTAGAAATCCCTTTGCTTCTGAACTTGCATCATGTTCTCCCAAATACATAGATCACTTCTTAGTAAACCTATTGGATTCTGACATAATATTTCAAAATATTTTTAATATTTCAGAACATTTCAGGTATTTGTTGCACTAGTAAAGTTTGATTTAATTTCTTCCATTGTACAGCTGAAACAGAGGATATCATTACAATGAAGCATACCATTTGAGGTGTTAAATTAACACAATTAGGATAGTTTTCATTAAAATTTTAAGTAAATTTTAATTAAAAATAAAAAGATTTTTATTTCATTTGATAAACACTTTTTCAAAAGCTTACAACCATTGGTACTCTTCTTAACATGTGATTCTTTTCGTTGTTTGCAGAAGTCAATCTTTTTCTTCCCGTGAAAATGTACCAGAACCTCATTTCTCCTCATCTCCTTCACTTCACAGAGATTATGGGTCTGATAATGATGACTTTAACAGAAGTTACAGGTAAAAATCAGATTTCATACGTTCTTTTCTGACTTACCTTTATATTGTTACTCCCCCAGTTTCCCAGCTAAAAAATACAAATTAACCACACAGTGTAAAAATTGATGTTAATATTTTTGCTTAAATGCAAAAGTTCAAACCATTGAATCTGAACACTGAGCAAATAATGTGACTAATTTGTGGTCCATCTATATTGAGCATAAGTGTGATTATGAAATGATTTGAGAATCCCTGACATGACAAGCAGAGTTCAAGCCAACGTACTACAAAATATGAAAAGCTATTGTCAGTAAGCGAAAAAGCAAAATACACATGCTATATTGAACTCTTAACTGCTGTCTACAGCAAGCTAATGAGTTTTACTGTGAGGGATGGTCAGACACTGAAACGGGTGGCCCAGAGCAGCTGTGAAATCCCCATCCTTTGAGATACTCAGAACTCAGCTGGACATGGCCCCTGCCCAAATTCATCTAATTAGACCTACTTTGAGAAGGTGCCCCTAGGTACTTCTAGAGATCCTTTCTGATCTAAATTAATCTATGGTTCAGTGAGGGAGAAGTTTTTAAAATTACGAAGGTTGTTTTAAATTGGCTTTGTACACCACTTATTTTACGAAGTAAGGTACTTCAGAGTAAAGAGAATCTAAACAAAAAAGTATATATATCGTATATGCACTTTTAGATCCTTCCATATGTATTTTGTAGGAGAGCGTTTTTTCTATTGCTGAGGAATTAATAATTAAAATATTTGGAACTATAAATCCAAAGTATATTATTGCCTGTTGAGACTATGTACTAGAGAGCTACTATTACATATTGTTCACAAAAATGAAAACATGGCTTAGGAACAAAAAGGCCCCTAGGTAAAGAAACCCTCAGTAAACAGGGAATTTTAATTAGAAACAGCACTTGAAACAAAACATCTTCTAGCAGACTTACTATAAAGAGCTGTAATTTTAATTACTAGAATTGAAAAATTAATACAAACAATTTTGCAACATCCAGTAGAAAGGCTTTTTAATTTTAAGGGGTAAAAACAAGAATGAGGGTCTGAATTGTTCTTTCAGGGTTACGCAAGTTTAATTTCTAATGGTGGCCACCAACAATAAATCAACTTTTATTTCGAAGGATTTCACTGTTCATATTTGTTCTTCTTACAGTAATCGACCAAATTGTCTTGAAGACAAGAGGAGAATGCATTCCTCAGATGAATTTAATAGAGGAAAAAACAGATTTGTACCATATTCTTCACGAACAATGCATCCATCTTCGTCTTTACACCAAGAAGATAGTTCAATAGACTATGAAGGAAAACCTTTTCAAGGTGAAACTACCAGAGAAATGGAACAAAGCAAAAGATTACCAGTTGTAACAGTTGATTACAATTATGGTCTGCCATTAGATTATGGACCTGAAGAGGAAGAGAGAACACATTATGATTTACCTCCAAGAGACTGCTACAACTGGAACTGAATAAAAAGGATGTTCACTCATTTAGACTTACTTTTACCCAATTTACTTTGTATGTGGACCAATTTTTTTTTGTTTTTTTAAATTTTTTTTTTACAAATTAGGAAGATGCAAATTTTGGTAGTAGAGAACTGGTCTCTGTTGTAAGATTAGGTTCTACTGATGTTTGGTTCTTTAAATTTATTAGGGTGTATTTGTTAAGTGTAGTTGGAGATAAGGTCTCAGTGCACATGGAATTAAAGTAGTCCTTCCTTTTAGTGAAATTGGAACCTTGTACCTTAAAACAAACAACTTTCTGAGTGATTGTAATTGTCTCTTTTGTTTTACATTTCCTTAAAATATATGTAATTTCTGGATGCAAAAGTCATAATAAAATACCGCACTATCAGGTAGACTACCATTGAGATTATAGAAAAAATGCTAAGAAATGAATGAAGCAAAGTTATGTCCACCTCATCCTTTAATTTGAAAATAGCAGTTTGAATTATTGCTAGCAATCTCTGCAGCATTGCAGTTTAATTCCAAATTTTCTGTACCATCAACTGAACTGACCTAGTTGCACTTTTTTTTTATAGCAGACTGTTTCCCAGATTGCTAAGAATGCGGAAGCAAATGGAGTTTGAATATTCTAATTGTCAAACTTGCTTTTCAGTAATCTGAATATCCCAACTTGATTGTGTATTTTTTCCTGATCCCATCAATGTATGTATGTTTCAGAATTGTCCAGTGCAGGTAAATGTCACAATTTTCTCAGCAACACATCCAAATGAGGTAGCTCATGTATCATCAGCTTACCTGACTCAACTGGCCAAGATCACTGCTGCCTATATCCTTAGACCTCCTTGTTTGTCAGTCATACCTGTCTTACTCTCCAGTTCTGTTTTTTCACTAGTTTCTTTTTACAGCAGAGCAGAGTAATATAATCAGAATAGAAGAATAACCTCTTCAGGTAAGTTACTTTTAAGAATCATGTATTGAACAGTCTCCTCTGAACTGCCATTTCAGTAGGTCTCAAGAAGGTTGTGCAACTAAATTCATGCCAGCAGCTGCACAGTAGCTCCAACAGCTCCTACTGTGGATAAATAAACCTTAGTTCATAGGGTGGAAAAGAGTATTAATGTAGTACTTAGGTAAATTTTTTAAACTACGTTTTTCATTATTATTACATTTTAATAAATTCACATTTTTAAAAGGCATCACAGTAAATATGGGTAAGGCTAGACCATGATATTAAAATTAACAATTGAAATGAATGCTAGGCACCAGTCATGCAGTTAAGAAACTGCCTCAGATGCAGCATTGGTGCAAAGCATTAAGCAAAAGGGTGTAAGTATACACTGGAAAACTGAAAAAAAAAAAAAGAGTATTCATAGCCAGAACCCACAGAGCTTTTTTGCCTTTTAGCAGCAGCATAAACCCCAGATTTCTGAATGCATGGTTCTATGACTACTAAAGAAGGACTAGATTTGAAAAGTATGGAACGTCTGGCAACTCCTGTTGTTTACATGTAATACATGCAAAAAGTTCCCAAAATCAAAGGATTCTGTGGCTATAAATTCAAACTGAAAATGCTTCATTGCCTTTGCAACTGGTAGAATAACTTTGGCTTTGTTCATTGTAAAAACTAAATAGTTTTCTCATTTTCACAGCAGCTAGTCAATTGTGTTTCCCATTAAATCTCTGATTGCAAGCCTCATTCATGTGGTCGAAGGAATGAAGCTCTCTGTATACAAACCAATTGTGAAACTGAGCAGTAAATGTTAAGAATAAGAAAAGCATTTGTTCCTTCACCTGCCTCTTTTTTTTTTTTTTTTTTTTTTTAAATGAAGAATGAAGGGTAAGCTGAGAATCTTTATCTAGGCTTCTTCATTTGAAGGCAAGGAAGGTCTACAACATGGGCTGCTATATTGGCATATTTAAAAAACAAAACAAAACAAAACAAACAAACAAACAAAAAAAAACCCACAACAACAAAAAAACCCTTCCTGGTTTTCTTCACCAGGGAGTTAAGAATTAGGGCCTGGTATTACAAGCATTTGGAGGGGTTTTTATACTATGTATGCAGTATTCGTAAAGTGAATAAAGAGCAAACATTTACCTTTCATATTTTTGTTTTGAGGTTTGAATTATGTTTTTTAGGATTGAAGTGACCCTACAGTGAATCCTTTGTTACTTCAGACTGGGAATGTTAGGACTCCCTGGAGAGCTGAAAAGCTGGTGCACTGGAAAGAAAGCTCAGTGCAAAAAGAAAAGTGGCATAAGGAGTTGGGATTAGCACTAGCTGTTTACCAGTCCATGGTCAGTTCCTGCGGGACCCTTTGAGGGTTTAGATACAGTCAGGCAGTATAATTCCTGTTATCTCACAAAATAAACATCTTAACTATGTTGGATTTCTTTTTTCAAGCAAAATTAATAGACATGGTGTTTCCACAAACGGCTTTGAGATGACTATATGAAAATAGCCAAAGTTGGGTTTGTATATATTTTTTTTTTTTTTTTATAATTTAGGATAAAGCTTTCCGCCCTGTTGTTCCTAATGGAATTAGGCAGAGCTAAGCCCACATAATACGTTACAAACTGTTAACTGACATTTATCTCAAATTCCACAGCTGAGTCATCACTGCATAGTCGCATCTGTAGTCAATTACTAATTGATACACACGGTGGAGAATGAAATTAAATTAAATTAAATGCTTGGGTTTTAACTGAATATTGTATTACAGCAGCACTCGTGAAAAACATCACACACAAAACCCCACTTTTTCTCTTATTTATTTCACAGTTCTACAAAAATGTCGTAAAATCTTGCTGGCCTCTTTTGTGTATGTTCTTAGCAAAGCTAGAAATAGCTGTTTTTCTATTACAGAGCAATAAACAGCAAGACTTGGATGGGCAGTGTTGGTTTCCCACTGCCCTGAGTGTGAAATCTTGAAGAAAAACACAAGGATACAGAAAACCCAGAGGTAGCACAAAATTATTTGAAGGAGTTCTGAGAGTTTTAACATACATAACTCCTGAGCTCTGAACTGACAGAAAACTTCTTTTTCTGTTGCTGTCCTGAAGTCATGGTTTAATTGGAGGCCTAATTTTTATTGGGTTGTGAAGCCATGGAGCCAGCTCGCCCTGAGGTATGATCATACTGAGTTTAGGAAATGTTCAGGTAGTTCCTAGAAAGTGCTGGGAGAAAGTTCTGATGAGCTCTGTGCAGAAGGCTGACTCACAAGAAGGGCTCAGGAAAAAGAGAGGTCAGCTGCAGCAGGAAACTAGAACACAAGGATACAACCAAATTTATTATGTAAAAATCCGCTTTACATGTACAGCTAATTTAGTTTTGCATGTGAAGAATGAACAGTTATCTAAAAAAGGGCTAGGAATATTTGCATGTGAGTGTTTTTCTCTTGGCTGGGGCAAAAGGTAAATGACCTGCCAGGAGCCACAAGCACAACTGGGATCCTTTCCTCTTTCTTTGCACCTAAAGTAATAGCTAGCGAGCTGCAGGCTTTTTTTCATGTGCAAAGGGATCAGTGATGTGTTACAATTGAAATTTGGGGTGCACTACTACAACCAGTGTGCCAGGACCAGCGATTACATGACCTGAGCACTAGCTTCTGAAGATCGATTCCTTCTTAAGATGTCTCACATGAGGCATCCAGAAATGCAGACACCCAAAGATCATTTGTGGTTTAGAATCTGCTCAGTGCTGAGGAAAGAAGGAATGTATTTCCCGTCTGGGGTTCAGCAAGGGGATATGAATCCCTGGCCACTGTGAACAGCAGTTTATTTAAAATGTGTGTGCAAACAAAAAGCAATAGCTTCCATGCTGTTATCAACCACTAATGTTTGCGTCCTCTCCAGGCTGACTCACTTGCTCCAGTTGTCAGCGGACTGTGCTTTACTGGTTCCAGTGGACAGTGATTACCAAACCTGTAGATCCCTTTCTTATTCTTGTGGGGAGTCAGAAAAAACAGATGACAAAGAGGAACCAGGTGAGGAGGCAACTCACCCCTCCTGACATGAGCAGACCCTGGGGGGATTGTGGGGAGGTGGGGGGGGAGGGATGGGGGGCTGTTTAAAAAAGAAAAATGAAGGAGGAGGGAAAATGAAAATTAGAGTGTCAGGCAGAGAGAGTTACCAGTGTGAGAGAGGAAATATGCAAAAATGCACATGTAAAAAGCTGGTGAAAGATTACTGATACAAAAATAAGGCACATGCTGGAGAAGGAGTTCCTGGCAACTTCTTATCTGGGTCTTCTAAGCTGTGCCTGTGGCTCTATGTGAGCACCATGCTGATGTAAATAACAGTTATCAAAAAAATACAGGAGCACTCAGACCTCTAATCTTCCAATAGAGTCATGTGGGAGCTTAAAACTAATTAAAGCTTCCATTTAAGCTTTAATTCTAGTCTATGTGTAGTATAATATCCTGGAGATACTCCCTTCAGAATCCAATGAGAATTTCTGACAATCAAGCAAGAAACTGCTCCATAAAATGTTTCACACACTGAAAACAAGGTAGGTTTTTACTGGATATCAGGGATCCCATCATTTAAGGAATCTGAGAATCAAATCCAATTTGTTTATTACAAATACATACCTATCTTATTGCACACTTTCAGGACAGTATCAAAACAAGCTATAATTTTGCTATTACTGTACCCATCACACAAAACTTAGAGTTACGAATCAGTTAAACTGTAACAAACAAATCTGAAGTAACTCCCTCGCTAAGAAGTACAATAAGCAAGTCAATGCAGAGCCATACCGAAAGCAGGAGACATTTGCTTCCTTTATGAGGAAAATTCAGTCCTCAGCACAAAGGAAGATGAAAGAGCCCCCAAGACAGATAAAAGTTGATACAGGTGAGGATCATTCTCATGCAGTTCTTCAAAGGACCTCTTATAACATAAACAAAGAGGGTTTTACTTGGAAAGTTATACTACCGAAGTCTGCACAGCAAAATTAACCCTTTATGGAGAAGATGAGAGAGTACAAGCTATTGTGGATACCTGTTAATCACTTCTCAATCCATTTTTGGGGTGCACATAGTAAATAGAAGAAAGTATAAACTGATATTGC